AATAAAAACAAATAAAAAGATAGGCTTGATCTCTCCCCCCCCCCTCCTCCTCCAAATTTTATGACCACTGGGATGCAAACAATAATATATATATTCATAGTCCAAAGACACTATGTTCTCCTAGCTGCTGCAGCGCAAACATAGAGTAGGACACTTCTGTGTTACGTATCCAATGGCATATAGACTGATAAAGACGAATAACTACTTAGTTCACTATTTAATAACCGACTGCGACTGAGTCATCAGCTGATTAGCATTTTTCTGTTAATTTGTACCTCAGTAAATTGTAGCGTTGCGAGATTCAGAACTTTGCCGAACAGATCATCTCTTCGAGTCGTAGTGTTAGCTTGCAGCGTTACCACAGCTAGCATGTGGCATCCTTAGACATTCCCTTTTTTCCTCTCATGCTGTCTCATAGACAGAGTTGCTGTCTATGAGACAGCATGGACTTTTCTGAACTTTTTTGTTTGACTTGTAAGCTAGAGGTTTTTTTTTTCCTTTTTCTGGATGTACTCACCACCCATGTTAGCAGAGTTTTAAACTTCCAGTGGCTGTTCATTGGGAGGAGATAGGCTGAGTGTCTGTTAGGCGCTTAACAGATTCAGAGTGATGAAGACAGAATTGCTTTTATTTAGAATAACTGGCTACAAAAGACCACAGATGACAGCCCTTTTTAAAAATGCATTTGCATCAAATGCATTTGATGCATTGGCAAAGCGTCAGGTGTCATCACCTGTCTGAAATGTGTTTCTTCTATTTGTCCACACTTTGTATCAATATCGATACAAAATGTCCGATATAGGGAGTGTTCTGCCATGTCAGGACAGTGTTCGTTGCTTATTCAGTGATGTTACCACTGAATAAGCAACGTATTCAGTAATAACATGTTGCGACAGCTGATGAACATTCATAGCTAAGTGTCGTAATTAGAGCTCCAGTTGGGATTAAACCTCATATTCCCACCCTAATTTTGTGATCGTTTCACGGAGTATGCACTGCAAAACTGGATTATGATTGATTCATTTGTAGCCTGACAGACACATGTCAAAGGAGCATAAGGGTCTGGTAAATATTCCTTAAATGTCACAGTTTTTGTTTTGTTTTTTCTTAACATTTGTACCTAAGGACAAAACAATTTAAAATCTTCAAATATTCATTTAAGTCCGATTTTTTTATCAAAAGGAAGCTCTGATGGAAAACTAAGTGAGACGCTGACAGGCGGCATAGTTAATGAGGCTTAAAGACTGCAACCTGCAGAAGCTCCAACAGGGAGAGACGTCCTGGCCATGCTGTTTAACTGACAAGTAGTCTGGCAGGAAAGCTGTGCATTGAAATGTAAATAATAAAAAAAAAAAGAAAAACATCTCCACCGTTACAAAAAAGAGCAGCTTTTACAACAAGCTTTCTGATTTCCTTAAGATGGGAGGAAGCTGAATAGATCTACACCGAGTCATTCGAAGGGCAAAACATTTGGGCTCAGTTGCCCGGCCGTTACGTTTAGCATGTCGGCCGATCGGCTTTTAAACAGCTCCGTCCAGAGAGAGAAACTAGGCAACGACACAGACCAGCAGAGTCTGTAAACCCTGAAATTATTATTTTTTTAAAATCTTTTTATTTTTTTTTTGCTTTTAATTCTTTGCACATCACGTTGTCAGCATGAGTGGCAGGTGGCAGAACATTTCAGGGTCTGTCTCCTTGCCTCCACGTGAGGCTGTCAGAGCCTGACTGGGATCCACTCAGTCTGCAGGAGAGCGGCTGCTCCCAGGTGGTTTGCTGCTGTCTGCCTGTCTTGAAAGTGCTCTGCGTCTGCAGGGCGTAAGGGTGGAGGGCGGGTGGAGGGTTTGGGAAGTGTTGGGGCACAGACAGAAGGGATGCGGGTTGGGGGGTGAGGCGGAGGATCCTCATGGACCTCTACCAGCCCTGCCGTCTGGAGAATTTTACACCATTTCATCTCAAAAATGGAAATGTCACGCCTCGGTACATCTCCCCAACAATTGGAATCTGGGCCAGTGGTTTATTTATTTCATTCCCTGCCATTCTTGAATAAGCAGCACCCTCCTTCACATAAACAGTTGTTGAGTTTGTCTGGTGTTCTTTCTCCATTTTTTTTGTGCTTTTCGCCTCTGTCCTCTTTCACCCCCTCTTTTTTATTTCTTCAAGTAAAATACAGCCGAGCTCCTGCCAACAGGTCTGCGCTGATAGGGATGAGCAGCTCCAGTGAGAGATGGTATGAAACCCAGGATGAGGAAGAAAAAAAATGAAAACAGGGGGCAGCAGGGTGCAAGTGTTAGAAAGGGTGTGTGTGTGTGAGAGTGGGACTGCAATGGGAAGAGCTCGAGACCCATCTGGATTGAACAGGAGAAAAAAAAGGTGACGACTGTGAAGGGGGACATGAGAGTGAGACGGCGCAAGATGAACGGAGACAGCGTGTCCCCCTGGGGGGAGGAGAGGAAACGGGGGGGCTTGGAAACAGTTGTGCAGTGCACGGTGTAATTAGCTGACGTGAATCACTGCGGCTACATGGGTGTGTGTGTATTTTTGTTTTTTGGTTGTTGTTTTTTTTTCCAGTGGCGAGTAGGCTGTGTGTGACAGCCGCACACAATGGTGAGCACAACGTGTGGAAACCAAAGATGACCCATAATGACAGATTCTTTTTGAGCCAGTTTTTGTGTGGGCTTGTCCCGGGAATTGGCGGCCGTACGCGCTCCAACATGAAAGAGCAATTTCACACCTTCAAGTAGCTCCGGAAGAATCCTCCTTTTCTTTTTTTTTGCACTCCAATTACATACCCTCTTCTTTAGTGTTTTTCTGCAGAGTTTATAATTCCACCCGCCCTTGTGTTAAAGTCATAAACTAAATAAATCAGTGGGTCACAGATCTGAACTGTTGGAAAATGTCCACCTGAGAATAAAAATGTTCCCATCAACAGAGGAAAAAAACATTTGTTCCCATTATGCAGTTGCTATGGTCCAACAGTTGGAGTAAAATGATATGGCTGGTTATTTTGTTGGACTGGCTGCTTGGTTACTCGGGCTGTGTTGAGTTGTAACAGAAATGCTAGTTTTAGCTTGCTAACTGCAGTTTTAAAACAGCATAAACATAAGAGTAACAGCTCTACATAGATGAAAATATGTCCAGTCATACTTCTACAGTGGTGGGACCGCTAACTAAAACATTAGCTGTGCTAACCCTACAGCACTAATCATAAACATTACTCCCTCTAACACTAAAGAGCTATACTAAAGTGGCATATAGCAGAAGCTATTGCTAAAGAGTTAAATTCAGAGTTGTTGATACCCACCATAGCGCTTTAGTCAGAAAGTATCCCAGGACATCACTGGATTTTAAACTGTTGACTGTTCTGCAGCGATGCAGTCTGGGTAAATGTAATATCCTGCACTGCATCATAGTGGAGAATGTGAGCAGAAAAACAGAAAGGCTCTTAAAACAATTGATATGGGAAATTTTTTGCATGTATTTGTTTAATAACACCTCTGGTTGTTAGTATTTTTCTGTCTACTTCATTTGTTTTGTTTGTTGTAACTGTAACTTACTCAATAAAGTTTCTTTAACTTAAACGTCCAAGTGCTTGTAGAATTGCTAACTGGTAAGCAAAACGTTAGCACAGATGTCAAACTTTATTCAACCGAAAGTTTTCAAAAGAGCTAAGTAAATTAGCGGATTAGAATTTATCTGGAAGCAAGAATTTGGTGGAACCTAAGTGCATGAGGTGTTTTTTGACGTCAGCAAAACAACAAAAGCTGAGAAATTAGCTGCCCACCACTGTCGGCTGTATGTTCAATACCTCAGTGCAGCTTTTAGATCTAGCCTCAAGCTAAACCAGTGTAACAAAATCCAATACACATAAATACAACACCTAACTATATATTTTAAATATCACAGACACTTTAATTTCTCTGAAGTTTGTTCACTGACTAATGCTGCTGATTGGCATTAGGTCCAAATTTCCATCCAAATCCATGCTTGACTTTGGTCATTTCTAATTCTGATAAATTCTTTAAAATTTTAGGATTTTAGGGGAAGGTGTATGTGCTAAATATATTCAAAGTTACCAAAACCGCTAAAGCGGGAACCACAAACTGTGGTTAATTAGTGGAAGTATGTCCACCACTGAAGTAGTAGTTGTCTTATTGCCAGGCAGTCAGCAGAAATAGGTTGCTCTACTTTATAATATGAAAAAAAAAGAGTATTCTGTATTTTTGGCTTTAGTTGTGTATCAACGCCACAAAAAAAAAAAAAAAAAAATCTGACATACTCGACTCTTACAGGCTGTGTGTTATTCCAGCTGCAGCTTTCATAGCTGTTGCTTTTTGCTGTTTTTACATACATGATATGTTATATTATGGTATATTTTGATGGAAAACCTTTGTTTACTACCTTAAAACCTGGATTTTTTTTTTTTTTAAGCTTCTCAAACTGTGAAAATCCCATAACAGCCCCTGGCTAAAATCAACACATTGCTGCTAAAATCCAAACAAGAACACTCTTAACACACAGGCCAATGGTTAATCTCAATTCTATCCATTATCACTCCCCCTCTTCCCCCATCCCCTCTCACACCCACCCTGTTGTGTTGTGTGTGACACTTTGCTGTCCTAACTCATTAATTCAAAGCCTTTGGGAGCCATTGAGTGTTGGGAGATGCCAAACAGGGTTAACAGCAGCACATCTCTTACCCTGACACACGCTCACATGTGCTAATGGTTGCTTTGTTTTGTGTGTGAGTGTGTGTGATTGGAAATGGAGCACTTCAGAGATGTCATTAGGCTGCCGTGCTGCTCATGTGAAAGCCATAATTATTCCTTAGATGATAATTATTGATTTGTCGGCGTTTTAAATACCCATTGATCTACAGGTTTCTCTTGATGAGCGGGGTTCCCCGTCGGCCTCGGCAACCGGAGGACCTGAGAAGACGCTCGAGCGGAGCTGCTCGCTCCAGCGGTCCGGCTCGAATTTCTGATGTTTGCTTTTCTTTGCAGGTACTTCATCGATCGGCACACGGATCTGGAGAGGCAGTTCAACATCAACGTGGACGACGGGAACATCACGCTGGCCAAGCCGCTGGACCGGGAGACGGACATGTGGCACAACATCACAGTAACCGCTACAGAAGTCAGTAAGTAGGGGCGGGCGGGGCGAGTCCTGGTGCCACACAAAGCTGTTACTTAGCTGCTGAAGGAGGGCTGTGTACTTCCAAACGCTTTGAAATATCTGAAGAAAATGTTCTGCAAATTTATCCCACTTAAAGTGATATTTAAAGTTTTTTTTTTTAAGGGAAGTTATGTGAAATTATTTTTGGAAATAGTTTTATGTGTAGGAAAAGGATGAGGAGTCGATCCACCAGATCAGCTGCATCAGAGTAGAGAGAAAGAACAATAGAGAGAATACAAGAGAACACTGTAACAGTCTGCTGCTACGCCTGCAGAAAGAGAGAGAAAAAATGTAAACTCATTTGAGGTTATCGGTTAGATTAGAGGTTGAGCAAACCTGACCATGTTCACTGTCCACATTAGTCCACATTATTGAATTTTCCCTTTGAAACCCATTTAAAAATATGTGGAGAAAAACTAAAAGTTTACAATTAAAAAACAAAAAAGAAAACCTTGCCCTGTGGATGGGACCGAAGTCCAAATCAGCCAAGGTTTTATTCAGATTAGCTCATGAGGCAGATTGATGCTGTGTACACCTGCTTAGCTTGTTAGCTTTCCTCCACTTTGAGGATGCATTTACATTGGCAAAAAGGTTTTTTACTGCGTTAAAAAAACTATTACTGATAACTTCACAGAACCGCACTACAAATGCAGAGCTGTATGTTTAATCTACTTTTATTTTCAAATAATTATATCCTAATATCTAACATTAGCTTAGACTTTATAAAAAATATATCCTTTTGTATCAAATGCTAACTTGATGTACCTCTATGGAAAAAGTTGTCTTACTGAAAAATGGGCATCTTATTTTCAGTTACAGTTATCTTACATAATAAACCACAACTGATGACAGTTTCTCACTGATTGAAAGGTCCAACAGCAAAAGGTTGACAATAAAGTCAGTGGGAGATGAAGTACTGCATCAAGTCTAAAGTAAAGAGTAATGAAAAATCAATGGGCAAATAAATGAATACAAGAAGACCTTATTATTTAAGGCGTTGAAACAAGAATTAGTTTTTAAGTTTAGGGTTCATTTTGAATTAGTTACTCTTCGAAGGTGAACAAATATAAAACATGCTTTAAGTGTTTATTTGTAACTGTAGATGTTAAAGTAGGAATATATTCTACTCTATGTTCCTAATTATTTTGTAAAAACAAGCTAAAAGTGTTTCTCATCCCGTTGTCCGATCTGCAAGTCAGCAATTAGACACACATCGGCATGCAAGATTTAAAAAACAGACAGAGCATGTTCTCTCCTCTTTCTTTTCTTTTTTTTTTCGGAACTCTTCTCAGCTAAAGGAACCGCTGACCTACTACTGGAAATCCTCCGTTAAACAGTTTAACCGCTCCGGGAGCACGGCACAAACAATTAGCCCGTGACTCCGCAGAGGCATTAAACACGTTAATTTGCTGAGTTTTGATTGAATTAAACGGCCCAGCGCTCAATTTGTGGAAGTGCAATAACATTAAGACATATCAAATAGACTGTTTTAAAGACATGCTCCAGAGTGGATTGCTCCAAACGCCAGGCATCCATTACAGATTAAAGAACATCTGCGAAGCACAAAAAAAGTCACTGACGATGTAGAAAATCTTGCCGGCAGAGCTACAAACAGCTTCAACCGTACGCAAGGCTTTATTTGCATACAGATTGTTTCAGGGGGGCTGTATGATGTGATAAAGCTTAATGTACCCCTTTAAGCTATTGGGATAGAAATTGACTCAGCTTGTAACTTTTCTGTCTGCTTCTGCCGTATCTCTCCCTTGCTTCTCGTTCTGGTCCCGTCCCGTTCTTCCTTTAATCAAAGGAAACACTCGTTAATTGTTGGAATAAATCAAAGCCCCAAACACTGTCACAATGTTTCTGGCCGTGGAGTTAAAGACGAATTCCCCGCAATCGACGCGGCGCCCCCTTTTTGAGCGAGCCGAATGTGTTTCACTCGATAAGCCCCCGTCCTCTTGTCACGTTGTAAACTCCCCCCACCCGTTCCCTCTGTACACTGCAGGCATGTCTTCATGCCCCTTGGCAAAGTAACTGTGGCTTGAGATAGTGGCATCTCTAAAAGCACCTAATAGGAATTTGCCAAAATGAATACGGCGGTTTTGCTATTCTTCACGCTCGGAGAGTAGAAGGCGGTGTCTCCTCTGGCGTGAAAGGGAATAGATGTGTTTCCCCGGCTCTGTCCCGGTGCCATTTGCCACCCAAACTGAGGCTCGTTCTGCCGCCTCGCACCAGTTGACGTCTGACTAATCAGATTCTATTCCCTGTCTGCTTGAGGGAGGGTGGAGAGGGGGTGGGTGGGGATCGGGTCCCCTCCTCTCTCTCCACTTTAATCCATCTATCACTGTCTATCCGACTGTCAGTTTCCACTCACCTCGCTGTTTACCTCTTTTTCAATTTGCCTTCCAGATAGGCGGAGGGCCTCGACTTTCAAGGGCCCCTGCTCTCCACTTTGGTTTCATTCGTTTGTTGAAAGACAGGAAATGCAGATAAAATCGACTAATCCCAGGTTTCCTCCAACTGCAATTGTATTAATGCAGTATGTGTGGCAACATGTTCATGGCTGTCTCATCTTTCGCCAAAAGTGATGTTAGCAAAAAAAAAAAAAAGATGTTTGTGGTAATTAGCAGCACTACAGAAGCTAATATCTACAGTCTTTCTTATTTCCACTGTTGGGGGATACAGCCAATCAGCATCAAGGAAAATGAATGGTCCTCCTGGATTGGCTGAGTACCAAATGCCAGCCAATAGTGTGTGATGGAGTACTGCACCTAGAAATGTCAGCTTCATTTGTTGTATTTTCTTTTAAGTACTTTGCAGAACATGAGCAAAAATTTACAAAAATGAGTGATAAAAATGAGTGTTGAATGTACCAAATATGGCTCTACAGCATGGTAGTATGTCATGGTAGATGTAGGCTGTGTAGTTTTTGTAGAAGTGTTTTTTAATATACTTGCGACACTTTTTATTTTCCTATGTTAACGATTACTGCTGCTGATGTACATTTTGGAGCTGCTCTTCTAGTTTATACCAAGCTTGATTAGGCAGAAATAAAACACCCGCGATGCCTCCACTTGTGTGTGTTGCCAGTTATAAATCTGCCAAACTGAATCATTTACAGAGCCGTAGGTGGTCTGCATGTGTACCAAATGATTTCCATTTGATAAGTTTCCTTTGGGGTACCTGTGTCTGCATGGCAGACAGAGATGTCATCAGGTTCTGTAATGCTCGGTGATGTGATAGTCCTCCCTCGGTGTGATCCATCTTGGTGACAATAATCTGTTCTACAGACAGTCATATATGCCCACTGTGACATTTGTGCTCCCCTCATGGTGTGTAACTATCAAACCCTGTCAAGTCCTGGTAATGCAGTCTATTGTTACTATGTGAAATTCTCTGGTATAGTGAACAAATGCACCAGCAGCACCCTAATAGTATTATAGAATGTAGAGTATTATAGTAGTAAAATATACTGACTTAATATTTTATCTATATACTGACTCAACAGTTTGTTCAAATTCACCCAGTTTTTTTAAAAAATAGAGAGATGCGCGGAGGTTGTTGGTTGATTTCTGATCTCCGGGTTTTGTAAAGCTTTGAACTGCTGATTCCAATTTCTATTTAAGAGCTATAATTAAACAGCGCTCAACATCTTTTATCCAGCCTTGGTAAGAGGTCATTAATTTTTTATTTGAGAAGCAGAGACGATGTCTGACTGTGCATGTGAGGGAGCAGTCGCTGTGAGGCAGACGAAATGATTCAGAGTTGACATTTGAAACTGTTTTTAGCGTCTGGAATCTGTGATTAGCCTGATAGCTTTATTCCTCAAAGAGGACACATGTAAACTCAAAGATTTCCAAAGCACTGCCAGCTTTTCTAAAGCTCTACTTTCTATAACAGGGAGAGGTTGAAAGGAACAACAACAACAAAAAAGCTAAACCTCTAAAATCAACGTTAGAGGTTTAGTTTGGCTAGCATTTATGGAATTGCGTCCAGGATCAATTAGCTCATTCATCGAATTAACAAAACATCCCAAGAGTGGGCACAAATAGTTGATGTGTGGCAGACGGTTCTTTTTCACACCAAAAAACATCCAAAAAGGAAAAGCAAAGGTGCAACGTGACGAGTACCTGCTAATATCAAGCTCTCTGTTGTAGCAGGATGAATAACCAGCTAGACCACTGCCTTTTAAAAGAAAGCTGTACTTCATCCTTCTTCTGTTTTAAACACCCTACTGGTACTGAAAATAGCTAAAATTGATTCTTCCTGAAGTAGCAGCCACCACATTAAACAGGGTTATGGGCTAGCGCAGCGTGGTAGCTCTTAGCTGTATAAGCTAATGAGACAAAGACAGCATTTTTTTAGTTTCTGGTTAGAAAACCACATTGATCAAGCTAAAAACATTGGATTCCAGTAACTACAATGTTTATCAAGGATCTTCAAAAAGTTTGTTTGTTTAAATATTGCATTAATTAAAATAGACATTAGCATGCTTATGGCCTGTGGGTGGGACTTAAGAACATTAGCTGTCTTTCTGAGGAAGGCATGAGGCAGGGAGATTTTTGTTTTTTGCAACGCTCTTTCTGTTGTACTTTACTAAAAATCTAAGATTCTTGAGATTCCAGGGATGTATGCCAATACAGGATACAATCTTAACTGTAGACAAAGTTGATGCATTTGTGAAAACACTTGGAAACGCAAAATCCGCGTTTCCAAGCGTTTCAACTCATCACTTGAAGCCTCATATCATTGACAGAACAGAGCAACCTTTTATTAAAATGATAGTTTTACATCCACAAGGGCCTAATTAATGTACTGTAATAAAATAGTTTGTCCCCGGCAAGTTTTACATCCACACTCCAATATAATTTGCCTCTGAAAACTTTCTCTATTTCAACTCAAAGTCCTTTAGTAAGCTCGGTTTTTTGTTTATTTTGTTTTGTTTTTGTGGGTTTTCTTGTGTTATGGGTATAAATTGCTGAAACTTTAAATGAAAAAAAATCAGCTTAGCACCTATATGCAAGTCAATTGTAATAACTGCTGTGTACAAACATTAATTCAGACAAAAGGGTAAAAAAAATATCAACAAAATAATTGAACTCAAAGAAGTTTCATTGGCTCCAGTGGGGGAAACTTTCTTTTGGGGTTAAAGAATAATTAACTGCTTGAAAAGTTGCCAATTGCTCCACTGATGAATAAATAAATTCACGGGGCCTCTTGAAAGCGACTGTCAGTTATCAGTGATGAATATTTCCTCTCGAAACCTCATCTGATTAAATGGCCTTTTCTTGTTTTTTTTTGTTTTTTTTCTCCAGACTTGAGTTACAAATGGCTCCTTAATATGCATGATTTTACTCCTCATGTTTTAAACATCATAGTGTACAGGGGATTCTCTAAAACCATTTTAAAATCTGATGCCCGCATGTTTTATTTTATTTTTTATTTTTTGCTTTTCGCATCGTTTGTATTTGCTGAAACGGAGATGGATTGTCTCGTCCTTCGTTCTCCCAGAAGCCGGGGAAAAGAACAAACGAAGACAAAGCAAATAAAAACAAATTAAAACCAGGTTGCGGAATACATGCAGCCGAATTTCACGCGGAGCCTTGTTTGTGTGAAGCCTCTTTTTTCCGATTCCTGCTTATTCACTACTACTTTTCCTCTACTCTCTCCCTCTTTTCATCCTCCCTCCCTTCCCATCCATCTGTCTATTGAACCATAATAGGAAACCACAGTCAGATATCAAGAGCAATTGTGGCCATCAGAGTAATGGACATTAACGACAATGCCCCTGAGTTTGCCACTGAATACGAGGCCTATCTGTGCGAAAATGGGAAACCTGGACAGGTAAGGAAAGAAATGACTCATTCATCAAAGCAGCGATCTATCACTTTCCTACTCTCTGTCCTTTTTCCTTTTCTCCCTCTCCTCCCCTGTAATGATTGGCCACAATGAATTATAGCCTATTTATTTCACTGGGAAACCACAGAGGTGGGAGTACAGACCTTTTCTCTCTGAAACAGGCCTCCGTCGACACGGCGGACACCGAGCGAACGGAAAATGAGCGCAGTCAGGATTGATCAGAGGGGATCATAATTCTAGACTGTCTTTCATGTCTTCCTCCAGATGGCACAATGCTTTCCCCAGCCAAAAAAAAAAAAAATCCTGGACAAGTACTTAGTATTCTCCTTCTCATCAATCGCCCTCATTCAGAGCAACTGTGTACGTACAATAGGGAGCTTTATTCAAAGGGTGAAGAAGAGGGGGAAGAAAAGGAAGCAGAGAAAAAGAGAAACTGTCCTGCAGGTCCCGAATTTAAATTTCCAATCAATCATCGGGACGTACAACCTGGGAAGACCCGTGAGGACAGATTAACAGATAGGTCCAGGAGCCTGAAAGTGTGTCAAACTGGAAAGGAGCTCACTGATAATACTCATAAACTTCAGGAATACACAGTAGGAGTGCAGCCATACATTCAGCTCATGAGAAAAGACGACATCGGGTTCACAGAGTGGGATTTGTGAAATATTTCTGGGGCCAGAGAAAACCCAAAGCTAATCCCTGTTTTCTGTTTTGCCATGTAGGCTGGCATATTAAAAAAATAAAAATGAATTATGTGGAGGTAAATGTGAGAAAATGTAGGAGGTTTCATGGAAATGTCACATAATGTCTGTAAACTATGGCTGCGTTTTAGTTCACTATATTGTTGAGCAAATTGATGTTTACAAAATAAATTAGGAAAAAGTTCTGGCGATATGATGAGGTGGTTTTTTTTTTTGGTTTTTGTCAAAACCTGTTTATTTTGCAAAACTGCTATGGAAACTATTTTTTAGCAACAAACAATTTAGATAATCATCAAGGAGGCGTTGCCACTGGCACAAACCACAAAGAAGATGACAGTAGGAAGTAGTTGGAGGGTGATGGAGGAGGCATGTTTTTAATGCCTTACTGAGTGAACAAACTTATTCATGTCTGATTTTAGTTCCGTTTCTTATTTCATTCAAACACCACAATTGTGAAATTGTTTTGTCTTTTTTGACATTAGCACCTTCAGGTTTGAGCTGCTCCACTTCTGAATTGTGCATTTATATTGTGATCAAGGGTTCAAACTGTTTTATTTCTTCTTTTGCTGTGACTTCACTGTTTAGTTTATGTACATTTTCAACATTGGCCCGGTCTTCTTGGAATGAATGAAAAGTTTTAGGGGATTTTTTAATACTTTTAATGTCTAACTTTACAAACATTTCTTTAGTATTTGGCAGGTATTTCTTTTTAAGCTGCATAAAACATTTTTTGGGTATCCTTTCACAATCTTCTACTAGTTTACCATTTCTCCTGACATAGAGGGTCTTTTTTTTTAAAGGTTTTATTGGTTCTATTGTGGTCCAGCTCTACCCTTTAATATTCTAAGAAACTGATATCAGGTCTTTGTGATGGCCTTTGTTATCTTTATACACCTTGCAAATATTTTTTCTCACATCCATCATGTGTTTGGAAGATTTTGTTTTGCTCCGAAATTTTAATGTCCTTCCTGGTTTCTTAAGATGTTGCTTCAATGCTTCCACCTGATGTTCCTTTTCTTATGATGCTGTGTATTAAACATGTTTATTTGTCTTTTTATATAGTGTAAGTAAGTCCATAATCGGTTCCGATTATGGACTAACATAATTTCATCAGAATGAGTAGGCTGTGTTCTCTAATGGCTTTGCCCCGTCTGCTTTGTGTATCCTCTCGTCTTGTTTTCAACACAGGTGATTCACACCGTCAGCGCCGTAGACAAAGACGACCCGAGCCAGGGTCACAGATTCGACTACCGCCTGGTCCAAGAGATGCAGAGCAACCCCAACTTCACCATCAAACACAACCAAGGTGAGGAAAACCAAATCAGCCTCCTGGAAATCAGCTGTTTCAGTGGGAGAACGACCGAATTGTCTCTGAGTTCTCCCTCCCCTCACCCCCCATCTCCTGCCTACAAGTCTTGTCTCTTGCCCACGGCGTATTAACCGTACCACAGATGAAATCTGGTGGATCAGTGTAGCTCACAATTAGCAGATGTGAAATTGTTTGGACACCAGCTTCTCGTTCACTCCCCAGTGCATTTTGAGGCAAACTAAATGAGTGGGATCCAAATGGCTTTCTGTGGCAGTCTTGCAGCTCAATGTAGAGTGACATCCTAGGAGCCGTTTCACGGCAGATGGTGCTACATTTATTTGCTAAATATTCTGATTGCTTTATGTGCCATTTTCTCTCGTCTTAATTCCATTCCTCCTTTTTCTGCTTTTGTTTTTTTTTTTTTCTCTTCCACTACTGGTTCTGAACAGGCTGTGTTCCAAATGACGTTGTGTAATGTTTCAGCTCGGGGCAAAAAAAAAAAAAAAAAAACCCTCTTCATATGGTACTGGCCTTCTGTTTGGTTGCAGAAGCTGCAGGCTAATTTACAGCAACCTCTCTCAGATGGAGGAAAGTACATAGAAATCAGGTCATAAAGTGGACTCACTGTCTTCTGTCTGAAATAAAAACCTCTTACTTTGTAATAGGTACTCAGCGGGCAGGAGCATGGCATCAGGGTAATCACAGGAAGCATAAAAATAGCCAGTGAAAAGCATATCACTCTTTTTCTAGCATATCAAGCAGCGGCAACTAAAGTGAGGCACAAACCAGATCCATTTTTCTTGTCGTGTGCAAATATCCAGAAAAAAAGACTTGAGTTCTGTTCCTGTGAGTCTGCGGTATATAAAACAGAAAGGGTCGCAGGTTGTATTTGAAGTATTATCATTTCTGATCTTTTATAGCTTCTCACCAATTAATGGTTTGTTTTAGCATTTTATCATGTTTCAACCGCAAACTTCAATGTATTCTAATAGTTAGGATTTAGGACAGATTAAATCAAAGTAGTGTGCAATTCTGAGGTAGCTTTCGCAAATAAAAGTATGATGCATTTATATTCAAGCCCTATTACTCTAATGCTTCTCATTAAATTCCAGTGCAACTAATTCCCTTCAGACATCACCTAAGTAGTAACTGGAAGTAGCATGGGTGTAATTGAAAGTCAGCTGTTTTGGGAAAACCTCAGAGGTTTTGTTAGAGAACAACCTCCATCATAAACTACCTCTCCATGGGTATGGCTTCAACCCATTCTTCCCCAGCAAGATGACAACCATAGAGCATTGACCACATCTCCTGGACCGCTCATGTAGTGTGGAAGACTCAGTTCAGACCAATGGAGACTCAACCAGTTTGACTGGAACTGCACCACACATTAGCAGGCTAGAGTGAGACATGGCAATGGAGAAGGGTCTGTAGAGTCCAACGAACACAGCAGGGCATGTCAGGGAGAAATTCATGGAGAGATTTGAAGTAGGGCTAGGTTCTGAACCAATGTCTCCATCTCACATAGAAATGGAAAGATTATTGCCCAACTCGAAGCCTACCTAGATCTGGCCATCCACCAATAAACAGGCCAGAGAAGCAGCCAAGAGACAGTCGGTAAAGGAGCTACAGGACAATACGAACCCTGTTGGAGGCTTCAACAATCTTCACTTTAGAGGACGGCAATGACCCTAACCAGAGCTTGGGAATGGTTTATGACAAATCATTTATCCCAGTCAAAGCCCAGACCTGAATCCACTGGCAGAATCTGAGGCACAACTTGAAAAGTGATGTTTAGTGACTGCTCTCCATTCAATCTGACTGAGCTTGTAATGTTTTACAAAGATTTCCATCTCTAGATCACGACGCTTACAGAGACATACCCCAAACAACTCGTAGTTGGAATTGCAGTAAAATGTGATTTAACAAAGTTTTGACTCTGATGTGTTGAATCCAAGGGCACACCACACTTTTATGTCTTTTATGTTGGGGGAAAAAAAATCCCTCAAAAACATGCATCATTTTCCTTCCACTTCCACAATTATGCACTACTTTGTGCTGATCCATCACATGAAATCCCATTACAGCTCTCGATCTCTGTGGTTTCCGCTATGACGAGTAACAATTTCAAGGCGCATGAATATTTTTCAAAGCATTGTAGTCCATAAAAAAATTTTCCCCACCGCAAACGAAAGAACAGGCTTGCATTAGACCGAACAACAAAACGGCTTCATTTCCCCCTCCGACTTTTCTAAAGCCACAGTAAATGTGTTGTGTTGCGATTCAACTCGATGCAGCGCATCAACACACCACACCACACTACACCTGCCACTTGTATATAATATTGTTAATTCCAAACAGAGAAAAGGAGCCCGTTGCACCGTATCCCCCTGCACTCCAGTGGCTATTTCTATCTGAACAGGCAGCTGTGGGAGACACTTGAGTGAAGAGCATGAGGGCCTCTGTCAGCCTCTGTACGTGGCTTTTGTTTGCGATGATGAATCTAATTGTAGGGTTTACACAGTGAAGAGGTTAAGGGTTGTCAGCCAACGGGAAAATAGCTAAGATTCCGAGTAGCTGAAAACAAGATGCTGTATACTTTGAATCGGCGTTCTCTGGTTAGGAAAGAACTCAAAAACATGCCGTTATAAGAAACAAAACCGGCAAAAACCATCAGGAAAAAGGCAAGGATGCAAAAAATTCAAATTTATAAGACAAGATAGCCAAGTATTGAGGGTTTTAGATGTTTTCCTGCAACTTTCAATACACAGTAGTTCTGTAGATACATTCGCAAGAAGGAATTTAAGACATTCTGTAGTTTAACCAATGGAAGATATAGTATTTTAATTTAAAGCACTAATGGTTCCTGTATCTGTAGTGTTAGTTTCCTTTAGTTGAGTGGTGGAAGCAGCACACCGGGGACTGGAAGGTACTGGGTCAGTGGGTCAGTCTTACACTTTCTTTTTTTTTTTTTTTTCAAAATTGATTTAATTCAATTATATATTTTTTTTTTAAACTGAAAATCAAACTTTTAAATCAAATGTCATCTCTAAGTGAGTTTATATATATATATATATATATATATATATATATATATATATATATACACACACACACACACACATCTTTTTTGGAGCTGAATATTAGTTAGTCTTAAATATTTGCTTTTTATTTTATTAGAATAGTAACAGTGCATGATTTTTTTTAAATACACACTATCATGAATTATTGTCCTTTACGTCCTGGATTTATTTACAGTTATACATACTTAAAAATGTGGGTTTTTACTATTAAAGAGGTTCTAAATGAAGCAGAGATTATTATTTTACCTTTAGCAAGTAATATAAATATGAATTGTCACATAATTACTCATAAACTAACCTCTAGTTAACACTAAAGTGCCCCCATATATCTCATTATGTGTAGAATATGCACCAACAGGTGTTACATGTTAAATAACTTTGTTATATTTTCAGTCAGATTTTGATTTCTATTGAGAATATTTCACTTCTTGATGCTTTAGCATAATTATTTTTTCACAATTTCATATAATTTGTATGAATTGACCACTTGTGAATTAACTGGGACAAAAGCACGTCCCATTGTGACCTTTAAGCAAAAACTAAGTATGGAAGTGCTTCAAAGTCAAAATTAGTTTTAAAAATAAACCTTTCCTCGCTCTTCATTTTCTTTAAATTGTAATCCAATTAAGTCATACTTTCTTTTTTTTTTTTTGCGTCATTGTATGATGTATTGTGTTGGATATTTTTACTTGGTGTCACTTTTGCTGCCACGTTGAGCTTTTTATAGCTGAAATCTTAATCTGAACGGAATTCTGCTTTTAACTTTCAAGGTGCGCCGTGTTCATTTGAACCTTATGTGCTCGGAGAATGAACACCGTTTTGGTGGCCTTTTATGTGAAAGAAGAGTAAAAAGCAGCGTTCTTGTAAGAGCATTGTGTTTTGAAGGTAACCTACACAACTCCGTCTGCAGCTGAGCTGACAGGCAGGAGATGCTTCGTTCTATTTTTACAAACAGTATTTAACAAAGGCGATGGGGATGACCTGTATACCGGGACGCACCCTAACAGTTTACCGGGATATAGTTTATCCTTGCCTGCTGTGTGTGGAGTGCTGAGCGGTTAAAATGAAGTAGGGCATGCTGGCGCTCACAAAGCAGAGTGTACCACTCAGTGGCAGCACTTGTAAGAAAATAAATCCGAACATATGTTCACATCAATTACAGATTGTGTAAAAGCAAGTGATGCTATCATGAAGCGTTTCATCTTTTGATTGAGTTCTTTCTGTCAATGCAAAACTTCCATCACGGCTCTGGGTTTTTTTTTTCCTCTACTCTCCGTGACGAGTCCCTGTGATTTCCATCCTCCTTCTTCGGCACGCCCTCGAGCGACGAGGCAAAGGTTAGACTATCAGACATCTTGTAGGTTTTCAATAAGATCGCCAGGAGTGGATTCTTGTGGGAATGCAAGTGTTTGATAATGTGAGCCGGGTAAGAAGTGCCAGCTAATGAGCAGACAGCTTCACAGGAGTGTCATCAAAGAGCAGCTGGCACCTTTCTGGGTCGACATGTGCCACCGTCTCCTCTCCGCCGGCGTCGCCCGCCGCTGTCCCGCCATCGACGCTGATGGCTTTCGAAGAGCAGGAGGAGCACCGTGCTCGGGCGTCACCTTCCTACGATTGAATTTCAGACAATTCCTCAAACGAGAAGCGAGAACAAAGAAGAATGGCGCAATAAAATGTGAGACATTCTTAAAAGCCTGGTGACGGTGGATGTGAAATTAGTTTACCCTCGCTCGCCACTGATTCTTCACACCGTTTGAGAGCGGGATTGGAATCTGGGATTTTCACACATCCTTATCTGAAAATGAATTTCTAAATTCACCCGTTCTCTCTCTCTCCCTCTTTGACAGACAACTCGATCAGTGTTGTCGCTAAGCACGATAGCTTCCGGCGACAGAAGCAGGAGATCTACTTCCTGCCAATTGTTGTGTCGGACCAAGGCCATCCGCCGATGAGCAGCACCAACACCCTGACCATCCGGGTCTGTGGGTGCAGCAGAGATTTAGTAGTCCAGTCCTGCAACGTGGAGGCCTACGTCCTCCCCATCGGTCTCAGTATGGGGGCGCTCATCGCCATCTTGGCTTGCATCATACTTTTGCTAGGTGATCTATTTCTGTTTTTATAAAGTGACGTTGATTTACATTTTCTTGTAAGTCGCCATCCCATTGAACTTGAGCTCTCTCCTTTGTCATGTCATACACACACACTCTGTTCTATTTTAAGGTGTTCCTTTTTAATTTTAGTAGTAGAGTACAAAAACAATCTGCTCATGTACTCAGCCACACATTCTATCATCAACTGGAGTATATCTCTATAAGCTTTGCACATTCACAGACTGATGTTTTTCATCTTCCTTCTTTGCAAAAAAGCAAAGTCAGATTTGATGGACAGCATTTCTTAAAGGGGCAGTATTATGTAAAATCATTGTTTTTTTTTAGCTTTACATCATGTTATAATATTATTATTCCTTCATCCAAAAAATATCTGGAGTGTTACTTTGGTTCTTTCATGCATGTTTGAGAAATCCTTTAGTCTCCCATGGCAACCATTCGGCTGTGCAAAATGCCTGGGTGAACCTAGCCCCGCCTTTGAGGTGTTTCCAGCTCTCCTCCACTCAGCTCCTTCAGACTAGCCAGCAACAATTAGCAAACACCTGGTGGAACTTCGCATCAGTGGAGCTCATTATGTAATCTACTTTTCAGTTCAGTTCTGGTAAAAATGTTGTTAAAGAGTTGATAGAGAAGCCATGTTGTGATGACTTCCTGAAGTCAGTTTTAGAAAGAGCAGGAATTTTTAAAGAGACAGTCACTTAATTTCAAGCTGCAAAATTATTAAGTGAAATTTCTTTTGTCATATTTTATATATATTGCATTTTATAACAACTGAAGTTAACATAGTTCCTTCATTATGCTACAAAATGATTCTGTGTGGCTGAAAAATGACACTGCCCCTTTACGGTGTCAGAGTAAGAGAGGCTGAATACAACTACACGCCATGTTTTTCATCATTTTTTTCCACTTCACAGTCATCCACTACATTGTGTTGGTCCATCACTGTAAATCCCAATAGAATTAATTCATTGAGTTTTATGATTTTCAAAACACATTGATACTTCACAAGGCTCTGTGTCTGTACAAATGCTTAGATTTGTGTTTGGGTAAAGCTTGACCAAGATTTCTTCCTTTCCTTTTTGTGTTCTCTTATTCCATTCCACCTCCTTTTTCGGACAGTAATAGTAGTACTATTTGTGACCTTGAGGAGACATAAGAACGAGCCCCTGATCATCAAGGATGACGAAGACGTGAGGGAGAACATCATCCGCTATGACGACGAAGGCGGTGGCGAGGAGGACACTGAGGCGTTTGACATCGCCACGCTGCAGAATCCTGATGGCATCAACGGCTACCTGCCGCGCAAGGACATCAAGCCGGACCTGCAGTTCATGCCCCGGGCGGGGCAGCACTCTGGCCCGAACGGCGTAGACGTGGACGAGTTCATCAACGTGCGTCTTCACGAAGCTGACAACGACCCGACAGCTCCACCGTACGACTCCATCCAGATCTACGGGTACGAGGGCCGGGGTTCGGTCGCCGGCTCCCTCAGCTCGCTGGAGACGGCGTCGTCGGACTCGGACCAGAACTATGACTATCTCAGAGAGTGGGGCCCGCGCTTCAGAAGACTTGGGGAGCTCTACTCTGTGGGCGAAAGCGACCGCGAAACCTGACCTTTGGTCTGTTAGGGAAGAAAAGGAAAGAAAAAAAAAAGACCTTTCTAAGTTTTTCTTTTTTTCTTCTTTTTTTTGCTTTCAACATATTTGTGTATTAAACACTAGGGTTTGCTGGCTCATAGAAACGTGTTTCAAAATAAAAATAAAAAACAAAACAACAAAAAAAACATTAATAACAAAGAGCGACCACTTTTTGTATTCTTTTTAGAGTGAGGTTTAGCAGTTGTCATCCACTATGTCAAGCGCAATGTACTTGTCGAGCCAAACAATGTCTTTATTAGGAGATTCTTGTGGAGTGTACCTTAGATTCAGTGTGGAGTGTCTAGCAGTACTTCGGGTGTTTGTCATTTGCTGTGACTGCAGGTAGCAGACAAAACCCTGGCATTTCTGGTAGTTACCAAACCGACGGTTGGTTCCGCGAAGATCGACCGGTCACCGTTACACCGAGCTGGACTACAGAAGCTGCAGTGGGACCATCTGGGTCTCCCAAAGGCCCCCTAGAGGAGAGATGAAGGGGCTGAAAAATGAAAAAGCAATACCTGGTCTACATAACAATGATGAATGTATGTAAGGTTTGGAAATCAAGCAAAAGGACTAACCAAGGATTGGCTTTAAGGTGAAATTGTCATAATTTGATATGTTCTCCGGTGACTTACATTTCTAGACTATCCGAAAGCCCCGGGAGGCTCGCTTTATACAACTCTTTGTATTTACATGCTACAGGTGTGGGTCGCAAGTGTTACTAGCCTATAAAATACTGACATAAAGACAAAAAACAGAAATGTAGAAACTTTTGAGGCCTTCTTTTTACAGAAGCAACATTAAATACAATTGTAATCTACTGTTTTTTGACAACAGACGTGTTGATTCTTCATTCCTGTTCTATCGGTTTTTGTATATCTGTTCTTAAGTCTTCATTTCTCCCCTTCTTCCCCCTGTGCGATTTGAAATGAGTGTGTTTAGATGATTTCTCATTCATTTTTTTGTTTTTGCGAAACACTTGATCACAGTTTAATAGCAGCCAAATCATATCATGAATTCTTGCAGGTGATGATTAGGCATTGGCTTTTTAACAAACGTACGCCGAGGTTCTGTGGCTTAAAAGTCTATTGGATCTGAAGGTTTTATTTGACTGTGCAGTAATTCAGTGCTGTCCTTCTCCCACATTTCAATACGCACTCCTGGCTGAAAGACCTTTGTCTCCTTTGACACATTGAACACATCAATGTTTTTCCTCTGTACTTTTGTTTCTGGTAGGACTACTTAAGTGAAATTCAGACCAGATGTCAGTAACAACCCAAGACGTCCACATGGATCCACATGGATTAATTAGTTAACAAATTAATCCATGAATTAAATTGTATAATAGCACAAAATTGTACAGAAGAGAAATTAACCATGAAAAAGCTGCAAAAAGACACAAATCCAGGAAGTCGGATCAAATCTGTTAGTATTTAATAACAAATTGATGTGAACTGGTTGTTGTGCAAATTTATGTATTTTCTGAAGGTCTCCTACTGCCCTGTTACCAAAGATCAAAATGGCTAAAAAAAAACTAGCTCCTTATTTTATGTTTTACTGCTTTACTGTGTACAGAAGTTCTGGACACTTGACTATTGAGAAACGACTGGTTGCAATTACTACGCTAGGACTAACCTATACTATTAGTACAAAACATGCTAATGGCATTGGTTACACACGTATTTCTAAGGATATAAATGCTCCTCCAAGTAGCATTGTGGCAATAATACAGCAGTGTAAGGAACAGTCCGTCCATCCATCCATCCATCCATCCATCCATCCATACATCCATCCATCCATCCATCCATCCATCCATCCATCCATCCATCCATCCATCCATTCATTTTCTTTACACCCTTGTCCCTTGGTGGGGTCGGGAGGGGTGCTGGTGTCTATCTCCAGCTAACATTCCGGGCGAGAGGCGGGGTCACTCTGGATAGGTCGCCAGTCTGTCGCAGAGGAACAATATATACCGTACATTAAATCAGCCTCAGCCTGGTGCTCTTGGCTATATTTATTATGGAGGAATGGGGAAAAAATACAACCAGGAAAGAGAACTGAAACCACCATGTTTGGTAAGAAAAAATTGCTGAAAGTCACTTCAAAAGTTTGCTACAGGACAACTGATGAAGTCAATGAAACACTTGAAGAATATAGCCTGGGTTAGTATTTTGAGCCCAAATTTATAATCTGTGAATGTCTTTGCACAGTCCCTGTTTGGAAAAGAAATGGGCCCTGTACAAATCCTAAACAAAACCAAACCAACAGTGAAGTCTGGAAGTGGGAATGTCGCCTTCGTTTAGCATATGGCACTGTCGGAAGTCAAATATTTAAAGGAAGGCTCAACAGAGAAATGTGCCAGAAACTGAAGATGCAATGAGAGTGGAATTTTAAACAACACATGGCCAAAGAAGCTGAATTAGTTTTAGAGAAAGTACAAGAATCACCAAGTCAATCATTCAACTTGAATCACTTTAGAAATATAATGAAACATCCAAACAAATGCAGGAGGCCCCCAGAAAGTTGAAAATGGTCTGTGTGGAAGTATAGGTCAAAATGACACCTGAGCAACACATGCAGCTAGTTTCGCCATAAAAGAGACATCATAAAGCTTTTATTACCAAAATATACTTTCCTAAAATACCACGTTCTCATATTTTGCATGCCTGAGTTCTCACCAGATTTCTCCCATAGTCCAAACATTTGACTGGTAGGTTAACTGGTCTTACACAATTGTTCTAAAGTATCTGTGTGCGTCTACGTTGGCCTGTGATGGACTGGCAACTTGTTCCTGGTTTTCTTTAGCCTCTCGCCCAACTGCAACTGGCGTTGGACAATGGATGGATGAATGTTCATTCATCGTATTCACCTTCTTTTGCATATTGATGATGCTTTCTTTGTTGCCCATGACAGATGAAACTTTAATGTCAGTAGTTCCTTTAGATTTACTGAGTTAAAATGTTGATGTGTTCTTATTGTCCCCACTCATACAGCAAACCATGCCTAGTGCTATACCATAAAACCATGAGTATTTCACTCAAAGTTATCGTATCGAGAATCTGACACCGGCCCATGCCTGGTGAGGAACTTACTGATAGTGATTAATAACACTGAGATGGTACTAATACATTTCTGACACATGCTGATTGAGAATAAAATGCAACCCAAGCCGCGTCCAAGGATACAACAAGTGAGCCTCTGAGCACAACAGTCCAATTAGGATCCAGGAGTGTGACTTTCTTCAAACATCAAACCTCATTTAGCAAACGCAGATCACATTAGCCCAAGAAAAATGAACACACTGATTGAGATTATGTGCATATTGTGCTCACACTGTATGATACCAATAAAAAATAAAAAAAAGTCTTGTTCTGTACATAGAGTTACTGCTAACATCATTAGCTTTCAATGAGGTGGTAGGTTTTGTCTCTGCACGTTAGCTCTTGCACATAATGACAATTTCAATGGCACTACAGCTGCGTGCATACTCAGTTTGTACTGATACAGTATTCTGGCAGTTCTTAGTAGACGAAACAATATATATGGGATAGTTCTACATGCAGATCATATTTTCTACTGTGCTTTAATGCTTATAAATGTGTATGTTCAATTATTTACTCCCTGTACTGTAATCTAAGACACCCTGTATTGTTTCCTACTTTGTGAAATATATTTTTATAAATATTGCTGAATGTGTTGGATTCTTCATCTTTTTTCTTTTTGCCCTTCAGTTTCAGTTAATGGTCACCAATAATGAGTAGTCATCACAGTGAGTCTTGACAACTTCATGACTGTTGAACATGTACAGCTATGTAAAGTCAGTGTGCTTGGACTGATTGAATCTTGAGAATCTGCACACTGATCCGACATGACGTGATAGGACAGTATGTAATTACCACTTCATTATGCCAGCTGTTAGTGGGTAGGAAAGTGAACGTAATGCTGCTTTGTTTTGAGCTACTGTCTCAGATTGCTTAGGAATTCAATGCTGGTTTTGATAAAATGAAATCAAATTGATACCATACTGTGGTTTGTTGCATATGGGGTTGTAAAACATTAAAAAAAAAGTAATCTTACAAATGCAGCGATAGGTACACCTCCTCTACTCCACTAACAGCAAACCTAATATTTTGGTTAGCGCTATACATAACTTTAACATACTTAGGTTTGTCTATATACATTTTTTTAGATAAATTCTAAAGTGAAAATTTTCTTTAATGATTTTTGTAAAATTTTAGTCGAATAAAGTTGGACCAACTGTTAAAATTTTTTTCAAGTAGTTAGACTTTATATTTATTCTCCTATTTTGAAGTGAGTGGAAATTGTTTATGCAGCACTTCCTCTTCCTGTCTCATTATTTTTTTCACCACAGACTGAAAAAAACCATGGACAGAAGAGAACAAGTTATAAACTTAAGGGCATCATAATGTCAAAATAGAATTGGTGCTCAAGGCTTGTCGTCTTTCAAAGGCAGGTACCATTTGAATTGAAGTTAGCGCTTTAGCATTAGTCTCTGCTAAATACTGTGTTGGTTGAACAAATGTTTATGGTGATTGCTTTAGGGTTAGCACAGCTAACTTTAATTAGCAGTGTCTACTGCTGGGAGCGTGATTATCAGAGCTGTACCACAGAGCAATGGAAGAAGGTGGCCTGGTGTGATTAAATTTTACAACACATGGCTGAACGGGTGCATACACTCTTTACCTGGAAAACATATGGCACAAGTATCCACTGTGGGAACAAGGTAAGCTGGCAGAGGCAATGTAATATTTTTGGCTGGGAAAACTCTTGGGTCCTGAGATCCATTTGGATGTTTCTTTGGCTTGTGCCACCTACCTAAGCACTGCTGCAGATAATGAACACATTTTAATAGAGCCAGTGGTAACTGTGGTTTATTTCTGTAAGATGATATTTAACAGCAATTTTGAGAAGTTGACTTGGCCTCCAAATTCTCCACAACTCAATCTACAGTAGTTGAATATCTGTTAGCTTGACAAAATAAGCCCCACTTCACAAGATTAAGGACTTAAAAAGAATCTCCTCCTTATAGCCTGGTGACATATACAAAAAACACACCATAGAATTGAGCCCACTGGACTGAATAGCTCAGAAGATAAAATGTGTTTGTGGAGAAGATGTATGATATGAAAATAAAATTGGACACAGTTGATTTATTGCAGAAAGACTTGTGAAATAGAGGATATCAGGCTATGTTTTACTTTTATAAAACAGTGTAAGTTGTATAGTAGGATTTAATTTTAAAAGTTTGTGGTCTTTTTGTCATGTGATCCACACTCCTTACCAGTTGGTGGCGGTGATGCTTCCTTCAGTTGTTTGCCAACCGTCAATATGACAAAGAAGAGGAAGCACGTTGCACCTTTAGGGATTTAGTGAACAAATCAGGGCTGCTTTGAAAAAAAGTACTACTAACTATTAGGTAGGTTGTCATAGTGTAGCAGTTTAATTTGCTGTAAGAAGCCTCATTATTACAATTTGTTTTAACTATAAAGGCAAAGGCCTTTAGCCAGTATACTCCAAAATTAAAAGCAGGAGACACAACAGAGGCTATCATTGATTAATGTGATCTGTAAACACTCTGGTGTGCAAAAGCATCGATACAGTCTGTGGGAAAAACAAAAGCAGTTGCATTAGACTCCATGTATGTTGCCTGTCCACTGCTTTAACAGATTTGGTCAATTTTAGTTTTCTAACCAACTTTAAATCTGTAACAGGCTACTGCTCTAATGCTAATCTGCATCTCAAAAGCATCAAGACTTTCCACTGGGAACCCTGGAGGATAGAAAGCTCTCAACGTTTCTTTTTCTTGTTCCGGCACCTTCTCATTTGAAACTGATGTTTTCAACCCAATGTTTTATTTTGTTTTACTGAAGTTGTTTACTTGCTCTGAAAACTTGCTGTATCAAGGATTTGCTTTATCTGCTAGAGGCATTGAAAAGATGCATTAAACTAAGAACTATTAGCAGCTTTGAACACAGCTTGACTGAAAGTTGTTTGGCTACGTCTGCCTAAACTGCCGGCTGTGGGGAGGTTTGTAGCACTACTGGTTTACAGCAAGAAGGTCCTGGGTTCAAATCCCAAATGGGTTTTTTTCACCCCACCTATGTAGGTTTTTTTCTGGGTAAACTGGTTTTCTTCCTGTCTTCCAAAAACCTGTCTGTTATTTCTACTGGTGACATTAAATTGCCAGAATTATTCAAGATAATTTAGGGTCACACTGATGAGCAAGTGCAGCAAATTTAATGACTGTAGGGACTTTTTGTCACCACCAAAGATATTTCCATTTGCTTACTGTACTCGCTGCCTGTACTGCAGCAGGAGATTGAGGTTCTCAAAGGACTCTGGGTCCTTAACATTTCACACTTTCTTCATTCTGTCTTTGAGCCCTTAATGCATCTGTACCTTCTCATGTTACTTGATGTTTCAGTTGCTTTGGATGTCACTGCCTTTTTCTGTCCCACAAGATTTCAGTAGTCAACGTGGACAGTCCATGTGACGGATCCCA